ACCCCCCCCCCTCCGGCATCTGTCTCTTAGTTTCGTTTTAGTAAATGTTTTACGGCACTTACAACACAATAAAGTCATAAAAAAGTGCCGAAGAATAATTATAAAGTGTTACACGAGAGTAACGTACGCAAAAAAAGAAGGAGGAGAGATAAGGACGATAGGTGTTTGATAGGAAAGAAGGATCGAGCAAACCACACCTCAGCACCCGCCAACCACCCACCATCTGTCTTTATCGCCCGTCGTCAACTCAACATGGCCACGGGAACCCATGTAACAGGAACACAGATCGTCACGTTTCGATAGAGGGCCGCTAAGTGAATGTTTCAACAAGATTCCAAGTTCCTGTTCGGGACAACTTCCAATTGCTGCTTGAGATTTTATCGAATGTGAGGCGGCGTTGTAGTGTCAAGCGCTTGTCAAAATAATGAAGTTGGTAGAAGAAATTGGCGTTTTTCCTCCAGTTTGGCAATTTTTATTGAAATTTTTGTTGTTGTTGTTTCATTACTTTTTATGTCCATTTAAGAACGCATTCTTGTATGAGTTTTATTGAAAAACATGGATTAAAAAATGTACATTTTCAGATTTCACTGACTATCAAGCTAGGAAAATAACCAAAGTTTGGCGGCTATTTTCTTGCTAATTCTACCTCTGAAATCAGGCGACCCCCATCTCCTTCAATCGCCAATATCTCAACTTGAAATTCAAGATATTATGGCTTTCTTTTCAACGAAAGCAAGACATATGAACAAGCTTTAAGACTGTACCAATAACTCCACATGCCCAAAAATTGACGAGCGCCTGATTCCACCGCGCCGTGACTCAAATCCAAGACCAAACAAGAAATCTTTCAAAGATCTTGCTGAGAGTTGTGTATTTTTGGGGGGCCTTACGAAATACGTGTGAATTCATTTCCTGAGATGTAATGCCCCCGAACACACGTAGAGACAGGCGGTTGTTGCAATAGCTTCGTGCTCTCTCAATGAAGATTTAGTTTTAGCCCGATACAAACACGCCCACACACA